ACAGCACAGATGGGGCTCTTTTATCCTGAGCTGGAGAGATATGCAGAGATCATCTCATTCTATCTCCTTGGAAGGAGAAATGACCAGTCTGATACAGCATAGCAATTCCCCCCAAGGTGAAGGTCAGCATTAAAGTCTCCCAACTACTGGGGCGCCTGAGTGGCTCCGTCGGTTAAGCGTCCGACTTTGGCTCAGGTCGTGATCTCGCGGTCCGTGAGTTCAAGCCCCGCGTCAGGCTCTGTGCTGACAGCTCAGCTCAGAGCCTGGAGCCTGCTTCGGATTCTGTGTCTCCCTCTCTCTCTGACCCTCCCGCATTCATGCTCTGTCTCTCTCTGTCTCAAAAATAAATAAATGTTAAAAAAAAAATTAAAAAAAAAAAAAAAAGTCTCCCAACTGCCAGTCAAGGGCCTTCCCCTCCTCACAGCAAGTAGGAGCATGAATGTCCTGCTCAAGTGGCTTTTCTGGAGGTGGTGAGCTGTCCAAGGACTGTCATTTGAGTGGACAAGGAAGGAGTGTGGTAAAGGGGTAAAAGAAGGAAAGAAGTTCATCTGAATTCATACGAGGACTCACAGGTAGAGAAAAGGAGGGAACCACAGGCGGGAAGGTGTCCTAAATTGTCTGCCACATCATCAGGATGTAAATATTTAGCCCAGTTCCCTATGGAAATAGAGCTTGTAAAACCCTTCTGCCTGTGCCCATCTCCCTTTTGTAGCCCAGGACCTGATAAGTCAGCTACCAGACCCGGTGGAAGACGGGCAGAGGCCCTGGTAGGAGGGGTGTGACCCAGATTCTAGACTCTCCTAGATACTAAACTCTCCTAGATTCTCTCCTCCTGTGACACTTAGAAGGAAAGGAGAATCTGTCCCCCAAAGCTGGTCACTCATTCCATTACCTGCTTAGAGCCAGACTTTGTTCAGGCTTCAGGCCTGTGTCCCCCTGAGCTCATCTACACAGCTCATTTTGCTATTGGAGTCCAACATGAAAGTAACCTGTGTTTGCGTGGATCTGAAAAGAAGGGCTACGTCTCAGATAGAGTAGAAGCGAGGAGAGTGAACCATAGAAGGGGCTGGAAATTCACGGCACCGATAATCTGAGCAATTAAAGTAGCTGGGAATAAAAGCTGTCGCCTTATCTGCTTCACCTTCTTTCCCCTCAGAAAGTTATCAGAACAGCTCACCATTCCCAAAGCCTTGAAACAATACAAGAACTGGGAAGCAGAGGCCAAGTTTCTATGCCCACCCTGGACTTTATCTGTTTCCTTCCCTAAACTGACGATTCAGAATCACAGCCCTAAATGGGTGGGACACTAGACCCTGTTTAGGGCCTTGTTCATGCCTGCATAGTAAATATACCCTAAAACAGCCAGGTCCCCACATTTCTCCTTCCTAGTAGGCACCCTCACCTCCACAGACCTCTCCCACCTAACCAAGCTCCGGGAGCTCTCAGGGTCCATCTCCGAGCAGCACATCAGCCATGACTGGCCATCCTCATGTATTATCACCTTGCCCCCTTCAGCCTTCAGACCTCTTCCTGTCTCGTACCCTCAAACCTGGGGCCAGCTGGTCTGGGATCAGGAAAAAACATCTATTCACTATTAACGCCTCCCCTACGTTGTTCAAAGCCATCTCGACAGCCTCTAGGGATGCGGAAGAGTCTCACAGACTCAACCAAGGCCTCACCAAGGTTTTGGAGCTAAAGTAAAAATGAGAGAGAAAAGAATCCCCCCAGGATTTTTTTTTTTATTTGAGTTATTTTAAGACACATCTGCTACATCTGAATACCCACACGTATATCTCGACCTGACCCAATCAAAGACACCAACTCCCATTTTGGCAACTCTGACTAGTCTAATACCAACCCCAAGAGCCCAGCCCTTCCTGAGTTCCCAGGAAGCTGCAGTCAGATGACAAGGCCTTTGTGGGGAAGAGGCTGAAATCGTCTCCATGACCACAGGAGAAGGCTGCCCTGATTGGGGTGTCCAGGGGGAGGGGCTCCCAGAGGGCTATGGCATGGTTGGGGGCAGGGGTGAAGGGGGGACAAAAGGGCCCATTATCTGCTGAATGCGTTGGAGAACTTCTCTGGTGGTAGTGGAGAAATGTTCTGTGAACAAAAGCAGTTTTTTGTTTTGGAGATCACTTTATAGTCCTCCAGAGACTTCCCCAGGTCCTCTCCTTCAGCCTTTGTTGAGAACTCCCACTGGGTACTTAGGTCTGGGTACTGGGTACGTAGAGCACCCAGTGACCTAGGTTGAGCTAAGAAAATACTAATTCCGCCTTGGAAGCTTAGAGCTGCAGACAGCCTGGCTGGAACTCAGGGGGGCCAGCTGATTTGTCCTGAGGAGCAGGGACATCAGCTCGGAACTCTTGTCAGAAGGTGGGGGTTGGGGGTGGCATCTGTGGGAAAATGCTTTTAAGAAGAGTGGCTTTTTCTGGGGAAGAGAATTTTCCACAAATCCCCCTGTCACCCTCCTGGCAATATCCCAGTCCCCAGATCTCACACTTTTCTAAGAACATCATATCCACACCCTGACTCCAGGGCTAGTCCCTCCAGTCTCTGTTCTTCAAGACTTCCAGAAAAAAAAGAAAATACACTGCCCTTGGCTTCTCCCAGCCACACTGCCTCAGGGCCATATGTCCCTGCCCCAGGAAGCTTCGCTTTTATATATTTCCCAATCTCTCCCTTTTCCGGTGTCTTAAATTAGACAGCAATGAGTAATAACAGCTCCTGACTGCCCATTTCTGCCAAGGCTTGACATTAAACGCACATCACATGTTATAAATTGCAGATGAAGTTTATTGTGCAGACACCCAGACCACAGCACTTTAGATGCAAAGCCAACAAGACGGGCTATATACACAGAAACATGTTTCCCTGGGGGGCAGGCCCACGAGAAAGACGCAGGCTTTGAGATGGGGCCTTCAACAGAGTAGTCCTCAGGAGGAGGACCACCAAAGGGGCAATGCAAGGAGGGACCAGGCAAGGGGGCATGGCTGGAAGTACAAGCCTGGGCGATG